TTATTAATATAATTATGATATTATTTGTTACAATATTACTATTATATTATATTATATTATATTATAAGTATGAATTTTAGATTAGAAGGATTGTAAATTTTAAATTTTATTTGGGGTATTATGGATATTATGAAAGTTTCATTAATTGTACTATGTTGATTCCCGTAAAATCTAAAAGCTAAAGTTGTCTTTAGGCTGCTTCTGATTTTGGCTGTAGATTCTTGAAAATTTTTTCAAAAAACACTTTTAAGGATATTTATCAAACACTAAAATCAACTTTTGCTACAAGCAGAAACTGATTTTAGGAGGAAAAGGCAATACCAAACTAAGCCAAAGAGTAGTAGTGGTGTGCATTGCCATTATGAAACTACTTTTTTTTTTTTTTTTAACGCATTGCCATTATGAATGAAACTTGAAATGTGATGGTTTGTGGCGTACGTTTTGTTGCCATGTTTCATATGTTTGTTGTGGAAATTCACAAAAGTTCTTGTTGAATTCAGCATAATTAGCGGTGGATCTTTTCGGGATATATATCGTTGTAATTTCTCATGATATATGTTTAGGCTTGTTTAGTGCATAGGATTAAGAAGGACTGTATTAGATTAAATTTTAATATTGTGTTTGGTGAACATTTTTATAGGACTTGACTGGATAAATTTTTATCCAATCCATTATCAAATCTCCTTAGAAGGGGATGTTGCAATCTCCTACTAAGCATCAGATAAGTTTTAACTAAAGCACATTGTGAAATACACTAGGGACCTATTTGTTAGTTTTTATAAAATTTGGGGTCTATTTGTAATCTTTAAAAATTAAGGGTCAAATTAAAATTTTATATGAGAACTAATTTAAAAATTTATATTTTTTAAACTGTTATTCAGTTCTCCGATTCGAGTTGATATATAACTTTTTGTGAGAGCTTTTTACTGTAGTAAAAAAAGTTAAATGTGACTTTAAGTGAAAGCTTTTTAATGTAGTAAACTGAAATTAAAAACTTGAATAGGAAAACTGAACGAGCCATTATCTAATCCTATACTTTTCTTGTAGAATTATTCCACGAAGTTGATTATGTACCAAATTTAGTCACTAAAGCACCCATCAAAAAAGAAAAAAATTTAGACAGTAAAGTAGAAAACATTAGGGTAGTTTATTTGAACTTTTTTTATTTAAACAAAAAAATCTAAATAGGGCAGTTTAAACAGTAGTATAAACTGACATTTGGATGTACAATAAAAATTTTAATCTGAACAAAAAATAAAATCTAAATTAGTGTTTAGATAAGATCATTTTTAATCTGAACAGAAAATAAAATCTAAATTAATATTTAGATAAGACTATTTTTAATCCGAACAGAGAATAAAATTTAAATTAATGTTTGGATTAGATCTTAGAACTCTAATTTGAACCGGATGGGTGTTTGAATGTGTAAGAGCAACTCATTGTTATTTTTTTCTTGATTGAAAAAATCATTTTTTGAAGTTTATAATAATTAATAATAATATTTTACATTCAAAGAAACTAACCTGTACAAAAATATATTAAAAAATTAGTATTAAAAAAAAAAGCGTTATGCAAGAATTTTATGAACACCCAAATCCAGATTTCACACCTTCTTTCGTCCTTTTTTCTAATAGAAAGTAATCACATTGCTCTGATCAATTTTATAGCTTCGTGGTTAAATATAAACCGAAATCAGAATTGTAGTTGATAAATAAGCACATTACAAATCGCCTAAAGTAAACCAAAAATAAAATTACAAAAAATAATCTAAAAAAATTACAAATCAAAGCCTTTCAAGAAGTCAGGAACTCTCTTGGCCTTCTCGCCTTCTCCCGAAACTTCTTGAACCACCGATCCAAAATATCCACGGGGACCTCCAGCTTCGACCCATCAACGCCGCAAAACAACTGCATAAAATTGAACAGATTCTCCCCCACCTTCATCGCCAGCCGCTCGATCCTCTTCTCCGCCGCCACGTCAAGCAATGAAAGCGACGCCAGGTCCTCCGCCGAAACCTCGATCTTCACCGACGCGGCGCGGAATCCGCAGCGGTGATCTGGAGCTGCTCGCAGGAGGCGGCGACGGCGAGTGGATTGGGCCAGGGGAGGGAGAGACGACGAGAGTGACGGCGCCCCGCATAAGACAAACGAGGAGCCGGGGGATAGGGCGTAGGCGGTGAGGGCTTTGTCAGGAGGGAGAGTGAAGTTTTTGAGGCAAATCCTTGAACGAACAAACTTCGCGGAGAGACGTGATATTTTTTAAAAGTTTTTATTTATTTTTTTTCTTAAACTCAACTGTTTAGTTCTAAGTTCTCCATTCAAAAAAAAAAAGGGTATAAGTTCTGACCTTCGTGCAAGCCTAATGTTATGATTTCATGATTATGCAATTTTCTTCTATCTTTCTTCCTTTTCTTCGTCTTTTCCCTGTTCTCAACTAACATTCTCCGCAAAATTCTTGGAGACTCGTCTCAGAACAAGTAAACAAAATCTGAACATATCAACCACAGAAGCATTTTATTTAATCTTTTCTCTAAGAAAAGTAGCTGCACCTTCTTTCAATCTTTTTAACTTGTTCACTTTTAACAGTTTTAGGCCCTCCCTAATTTTAGGGAAAAATGCTTCAGGCCTAACACAAAAAGGCTTAAAAACTAAAAACAAAGCATGCATATCTGTCTCAAACTGATTAATCCTGGTGTCATAAAATTGCATCTCAGTAAGGATATTACTGGAGAAAATGAAATGATCGAGCCCTTCCGCAACGCTTCTCCATAAATCCAAAAAATCTTTGGGGTTTAGAATCTGTTTGAGCGCATGAACATTACTTCTCAAAGTGTCCAATGCTTCAACAAAATCAGCAGTGACTGCCAAATTTGAGCCAAGTAGTACTTCCACACAACCATCTTTTTCTTCCTCGAGATGTTTCGCTTGTTTGACATATTCCCACGAAAGCGTCTCGAATTGAAGGAGAATCACAGCAATAATGTCCATCAACCAATTCGTTTCGAGTTCAGACAAGCTCTTAATTTCTTCCTCAAAGAAGCAACTGTTATCATTACGTTCACCTTTTCCATGGTTTCCGCAATCATTTTCAGCAACCTTCATCTCCAAAAAGTCGACATCATCACTCCACTGTCGTAGTCTAAACTCTGTGTATCTGGCAGCATTGATCAATATGCATACTCTACTCGAGGCATCATCATCAAAATTATCAGCAGAAATTTCAATTCCTTTGTGCCACAAAAGCAATACCTTAAAGAAGTACCAAAGAAATTTGGCCGCAGTTGATCTAATAAATTTCATACGCGGTAAAACACAGGGAAGACTTTGGCACCGTTCAATGATTTCCCAGGCAATCTTAAGAGCAGATTCTGCAACCGGTGGAGCTTTGTGGTCTTCTCTAGTAGAGAGTAGATAATGCTCGGACTCTGATTCAGACTGAAGTCCAGCTTGATGCTTGTCATTGACTCTCCAACATCTTTCGTCTTGGAGGTCCGTCTTCAATTTCTTGCAGGCATTTTTGAGCTCTATCTTTGCCCAAATCTTGAGCCATTCAGGCCTATCACAAAATATTGACAGCAAAGAAATGCCTCTTGACAGTCCTCCTTCTGCTCTTTCCGACTCTGTCAAAAAGTGATTAGTTTCCAAACTAACAAGAGATCGCATTTGTTTATCTAAGGAAATTGTTAGGTCTATCAGATGAAGCCATGATGGTATAACTTCATATTTCATTTGCGTCTCCTTGTACTTTTCAGTGAGAGCAGAGAACATTCTTGTCTCCAAGAACCTAGAAAGTGTTTGGACCATTGCAGAAACCCAAGCTTCTGTAGCACTACAGCTTACTAGTCTTGCTCTATCAATCAAAGGTTGTAATACATCATCTATTCCCGCAATAAAATTTCTTGTGATTTTGTATGTAAGTGCAAAAATAAATTCAGGCTGATCAACCCATTTTGAAAAGTGATACTCCATCCGTGATGCAATTGGAGATACCAATTCATCAATGGCCCAAAGCTGAATTTTGTACTTCCTTTGCCCTAAAAAATTAAGCTGCCGCACCTCCCTCCGTGTTTGAAAATGCTGTAAAGCACATAGAGCTATAAAGCTATCCGAATAACACTTCCCTTTTTCACCTTGCATGATAACCAATGGGTTTGGAAGGTCTGTAATGCGTCCCACTTCTATTTTTGGCGTCGAAAGTTTTGGTGGCCATCCCAGAGAAACGAGAAGGGCTCGGTGATCAGCTGAAACTTGTGGCCGAAGAATAGCCAATGTTTTATCAACTCTAGCATCAACAGATTTTAAAAGACGATGCCAGTGAGTTTGGCGTCCCACGAGATCAACCAACATGTCTTCAATACTATTCATGGCTTTTATGGCTTGAAGCAACTTTTCATTCTTTGTTCTAGAGTCCTGCGTACCAAAAATTTATGTTATTACACAACACATTGGCCGTGCTAGTGAATTTACTATTCTCACAATCCCAGAAGTATCACAAGAAAAAAGATAAATGCATTACACTAGATATTGAGGAATTTGAAAGCTTTGCTGAGAACATATTCCCAGTCTGGCACTTCATAAAACAGAAAACAGCATCTTCTAGATCTCCAACCAGAGCTTCTAACTGTAAAGTAGTCTCTGAAATATTAAGAGGGTAGCTTAGCAAGTAACTTGGCAGTTCAAAGAAAATAAAGAGAAGAATGAAGATGGCATTCACAAAAGTATAAGGAGGCCTTGGGCCCCAAGGGGGGCAACTCCGCCTTGATTTCTAGGACATCTCAACTAAGTTGGCACTCCCTGAAGATCCCATCCCCCACCCACACTCATTATTATAAAAATAAAAGGGAAAGTATAAGGCTAAAAATATCTAGAATTAGATCAACTCAAAAGAAAAAAAAAAAGAATAACACTAAGAATAACCTAAGCGGAAAAAAAGAAAAATCCTATAGGATCTACCCATTCAAATCAGAATGATGCCTCAATAAAACCTAAGGAAAAAAATCCAAGCAAGGGAAAAAGAGTGCATGATACAGAACCTCAAGAAGAGGAATGGCCCTTTCCCTTCCACACATGTGTTTCCTCATAAAATGCAAATGTTAATTTGGTGGAGTCCACATGATAGGGGAATGAGGACAGGGAAATCCAATCCCAACCAACCCCAAGGGCCATGGCTTTGTTTCCCTTCTAAGCGAAACAAACCATAATATTACTTTGATACCTAACTAAATTTTAGCCACCAGTTATATACAAAAGGACATTTTAGTACTTAAGTTATGATGATTTTAGCAAAGAAAAAAGAAATTAGATATTTTCCACTCCCAAAGTAATCACTATAAAGCAATCAACAATGCCCTTTTCTTATTCGTTTTCTTTTGTTTCCAAAACTTTTCCATTTCGTATTGCATTCCACTACAGTCTAATTTAGTAACACATGCCCTACGAAAAATCAAGGGATCATCTGGGGTCATGAAGGGTTAGCATTTTGGGGTTGGTTATAACTAGGACACTAGGAACATTGGAAGAAAGGAAGAGAATATATTTGTTTACGTTTATATACCATCCCAAAAGCACCAAAGACTTGGGATAACTCACAACTGCTCGCGAATTAACAGTGAAAAGGACTTCATACATTCTAAAATCATCCAAATGAAGCCCCAAGAACATCAAATATTCCAAGCCAACACAGAATTATAGTAATGGTCTTTTGAAAATTGATCAAATAACCATATAAGATAGCACGTCAAACAAACAAATCCAAATAAGAGAAGGCCAAAAAGAAACACAAATTCAAATTACAGGAAATGGGAAATCTCAACTCACCAAGATAACTGCGAATCTCATCAATCCTGACCACTTCGCGGGCAAGTTGAGGCAGCTCTCGGCCTAAAACTCCATGAAATCTCTTCAAACCAATCCCATCTATCAACAAAACCCCCATAAATCAACAAAAAAAGAAACAAGTTCAAAAACCCAAAAACCAGAATTTGAGAAACACGAACTTGGGGAGGTGATGAGGTTTAGATTCTGAAGACTGAGAGCGAGACTGTGGGCGGCTGATTTGGCTGCAAAGGAGCGAGAAATCCACGAGACGGAGCATTTGGCGAGACGACCCTGGAGGCGGAGAAGGTCGCTGTCCAAATCGGAGCACTGTTTGCGAACAACTGCGAGGAGATCGTGAGGAGCTTTGTGAAGAAGAAGGGGATCCTCGGGGGCTCCGAAATGGTCGTCCAGAAACCTCAACTGCTCCGATGAGAGTTCACTGTATTTCGGCAAAGCAGGAGTTTCCATTGATGTAATTGAAGAGAACCAAGAAATGAGAGGTGGTTTTCATTTTTCAAACCCGAAACAGAAAATGGGGGCCGGAATTATATAAGGGTCGTTTGGTACGTAAAAATCAGTAGGAATTATATTTTCAAGAATATAATGGAAGGTAATATAATTTTTATAAATAATATATTATTATGTTCAGTTTTATATAAAAATATTTTTTAAATTCTCAGAAATATTACGTTATTGTATTTGATTATTTACATAAAAAAATATCTATAATAATAATAATAACAATAACAATAATAATAATAATAATAACAACAACAATAATAATAACAACAATAATCATAATAATAACAATAATAATAATAATAATAATAACAATAATAATAATAACAATAACAACCACAATAATAATAACAATAATAATAATAATAATAACAATAATAATATTTTATTGTACCTTGTTGCGAAACATCACGAAAGTATCGTGTATTTTTAGAAATTAAATATTTTAAAATTTTACAAAAACTATTTTAATAAAAATATTAAAAACTCAAAATAAAATTTGCACATCTTCAACCCAAAGGAAACATCAAAAATTTTAAAATGTTTTTTTAATTTCTAGTTTCTAATTAAATAAATAGAATTATGAAAGAGTATAATAACCATTTTGTGCTTTAAAAATCGATCTAAAGATAATAAAATAATATTTATTTTAAGATAAATGTATCAATTTATGGAGGGGTTTAGAGTATTACCAGGGGGGACTATAACGAAACTGAATACTTGGGTGGTGCGCATGTTGTGTTTGGCTCGTGCTTTTGGGCAACTCTCTGGCATTAAGTGTATTGAGATTTACAAATTTAATACTAAACATAATGAAACCACTCTTTGGATTTGCTCAAGATCTTTGGGAATAAAAGTGAAAAATGTTACATGATAATCATTGAATGTAATATTTGACATCAGAGGTGTAACATTAAAAATTTTAGATATCTAACGTAATTATGTTAACGCAGCTTTAACATTAATATTATTTTTAATAATTTTCATGTTATGTTTTTTACTTTTACATATTATGTCGGAAGGATTTCTCATCAAAAGGATTATAAAAAATATATATATATATATAAAAATTGTCTTAAATGCATGAGTCAGATATGTCTAAATTGTTTATATACATGTATAATATTGTTCTTACATGTGTAACACTTAGGTCTATAAATATAATTTAACACGCGTAATATTGAGTGTTACACAGTTTAAAAAAAGTTACATTGTTCGTTTACATATATGCGTAAAAAAGTTAGAGTTTCTGTGCGCCGTCAAATTTAAGATTTTGTCTATATATAATAATATACAATATGCATTATTGCTTCGCCTTCTCCATTGTTTTACGTGTAAAAGTGGGGATTTTATCTGTTCCCACTTTAATTATTGTCATATTTGATACCCCGCAAAAAAGTGGAAAGAAGGATTAGTTTTAAAAATACCAACAAACTATATTTTATGTTAAGTTGCTCGCTAATCTTTAGAACATAGTATATTTACATCTTTTTATTTATACAAAAATAGCAAAAAAGTCCTATCAATATTTGCCAATTAAACTGACGGAATGTCCTATGTAGTATCAAATTTATTGAAATGCACTTTAGTAAATGTTGACGGTCGATTTTCGTCAACAAGACTACACCAGATTATCCTTCGGTGGCTGGTTGAGTTACCGGTTAAACTTGTAATTTAATTGGATATTCTAGGAATGGTGTTTGTGCTTTTGGTGTATTATGAAGAATGCTTGATATGGTGCTTGAATAGAAGTACATCCACTACATATTGTATTTTTCTTTTGGTCTTTTTAGGTTACATAAAAAAACCTCACTCTTTCTCTCTGGGGCTTTGCCCCCTTTTATAGCTCACAGATTATATGTGGGTCATTTCAGGATGGGCTGTCACAGGGTGTTTAATGATGGTTTTTCGTAAGTAGTCTGTTATTCTACCTGCCTAGACCGTAGCCTTTTTAGCATATTTTTGACTGTTCACTCATCATATTTGTCTCCTATTATGGCTCCTATTATGGCTTTGCAGATCCTTGGTGATCTCCATTGGTCAATTACAGACGATTTAGGGGTTTGTAATCATTTCTTGTGTTGCTGACCTCCTCCCAATCCATACGCAACCTTGGGATCTCTAGCTTGTCACCTCTGAGGTTTAACTTGGGATGCGGACCCATGTGCCTTTGTTCTTCCCTCGGCACCTACTTAGGGTTAACACCCCTATGAATCGCCCCTTACGGTCGGCCTCTTCGCCAGATGGATGGGAGATGAGTTTCTAGGCGTCGACGGCTATCTGACGTAACAAACATAGGGCCACTGGGGCATGGTCGTTGTTCGACGTGTCGGCGCATATTTCCCACACAACAATTGCCCCCCAGGTCGAGGCTTTTCTTCAGACTGCCTCGAGCTAGGTTGGGATCTGCTCTAGCACTTTTTGTCTACTTCGGATGTGGGAGCCTAACTCCGAGCCTCCCTTGCAATGATGGCTCTGGCACTTCGAAGTCCCTAGAGAAGTGCAAACGTCGCGTCGGTTGAATCGTCATGCTGACGTGGTCTTTCGTTTAAACGGATGAATTTGGACCGTTGGATTGTGTCTATGTAGCTTCCCGCCCTTTCCCCAATCGTCGGATCGAATTCCTTTGCTTCCACCGTTGGTTGGATGCGTGGTGTTTTCCTCCGTTTGGCTACCTTGATTTGCAGCGTCATTTCTTCTTCTTGGAGGCATGGTCGTTGATTATTTCTTAGTTGTCTTGGGTCCTAAACCCACAACCAGAGATTCTGGGTTCCGCCCCTAGTGGAGTCGCCAATTGTTGACGGTTGATTTTCGTCAACAAGACTACACCTGATTACTCCTCGGTTGCCCGTTGGGTTACCGGTTAAAACTTGTAATTTAATTGGATATTTCAGGAACGATGTTTGCGCTTTCAGTGTATTGTGAAGAATGCTTGATACGGTGCTTGAATAGAAGTAAAAACGCACAGAAGTTTATAGTGGTTCACCCTTATAAAAAAAGAGCTACATATTGTATTTCTCTTTTGGTCTTATTAGGTTACATAAAAAAAACCCCCCTCTATGGGGCTTTGGCCCCTTTTATAACCCACGAATTAGATGTGGGTCCTTTTAGAATAGGCTGTCACAAGGGGTTTAATGATGATTTTTCGTAAGTAGCCTGTTATTCTACTTGCCTAGACAGTAGCCTTTTAGCACCTTTTGGACTGTTCACTCATCCAATTTGTCCCCTGTTACAGTTCTGCAGATCCCTGGTGATCTCCATTGGTCTATTCCAGGCGGTTTAGGGGTTCGTAATCATTCCATGTGCTACTGACCTCATCCCAATCCAAACATAACCTTAGAATCTCCAACTTGTCACCTCTGAGGTTTAACTTGGGATGCGGACCCATGTGCCTTTGTTCTTCCCTCGGTGCCTACTTAGGGTCGACGCCCCTATGAATCGCCCCTTACGGTCGACCTCTTCGCCAGATGGAGGGGAGATGAGTTTTCAAGCGTCGACGGCTATCTGATGTGGCAAACATAGGGCCACGTGAGGCATGACCGTTGTCTGACGTGTCAGCACATATTTTCCTGCACAATAATAGAAGACATGATTATTTTTATAAATACCCCTAAACTATATACACTATCTCAAAGTGCTTCCTAAATTTTTAAAATGAATCAAAACACTCTTTGATATATAAAAAATAGATTAAATTACCTCCTCCATCCAACTCCGTTTATAATTAAGTGGTATGCCATTAAAAAGGCAAAAAAAGCAATTTAAAATGTAAACCTTAATTAATAATTTAAAAACCTATTAACCTTAAGATAAAATCACACAAATCAAATAAAATTTAAAGATTAATTAAAAACAAAATAAAACTAAAAAACAAAAAAACATAAAAACACATCAGAATTCAGACCCACCATCGGTCACCATTATAGTGGACCCACCACCTTCGCCTCACGCCGGCCGGCCCACCACCACAACCCTCATGACCTACCACCTTTCCACAGATCGCGCAATGGCCTTCCACGATCAGGGTTATGCAGCACTAATCTCGTCTCTTCTTTGAATCGTCACGCATCCCTGCCCTGTAACCCACACCCACGCCACCTTTCAATAGCATTGCTCCCTACCAGCAAAGCCGCCGCTTCCGCGCACCTAGCCCAGTGACCACTGTGCCATGCCTTTATTGCAAAGCGTAACCTATTGCTTAGATCTGATTTTGTTTTTTAAAAGTAAATCAAAATTAAAAAAATAAGAAGAAAAGCTTACAATACTAAGATCAGATCTAAAAGTAATGAGGAAGGATGTTCTAGAAGCATTGAGGTGAATCCTTGCACAAAGGAGTCTCGTACAGACTAAAACGATGAACAAAATGCTATGTTACTTTATCCCCAAATAACAAACTAAACAAATTTATCCCCAAAGAAATGATCTTCTCTCTTCCCAACCCAAAAAAAAAAAAAACCCAGATACCAAAATTCCAAAAAAGAAAAAAAATGTATGAACGATTCTGTTACTTTTTTCTTAAAAAAAATTTGATTTTTAATAAATTAATAGGTTTTTTAATTAATAATTAAGTTTAATATTTTAAAATGATTTTCTACACTTTTAATGGCATGCAACATCATCTTTCCATTAAAATTATAAACGGAGTTGTATGAAGGGGGCAATATAATGTATTTTCTATACATTAGGAAGTGTTTTGAATCATTTAAAAAAATCAGGAGTTAGTTTGAAACATGATACATAGTTGGAAGTATTTATAAAAATAATCTTAAAAGATATTCTTTCAATTTTGTAGAGAGATGTTGATAGAAGGACTGTTTCTAGAACTTTTGTATAGTTAAAAAGGTGAGAAATGAGAATACCACATTTTATAGATTAAGGGGAAATTTGAAATAAGCTATATAGTTTAGTAGGTATTTTTATGTTATTGGAGGTTTTAGAGTTTAAAAGAAAACATTAAGTTATTTGATAGAGAAAAAATAAAAAAGA